TTCTAGAAATGTTTTAAATATTCATCCAATTTTCCCCCTTCCTCAAGACGATTAAAAAGCGAACCCCTCTAAATTTTTGAAATTCATTTGTCCACGTTGTGATCATTTTTTTCTTACTAATTGATTTGCTCGTGAATTTGGGGTGAACGAGCTTTGATCGATGTAGCAATAATTGTGAAGAGCTTCAAGAAAAGGGGGAAATCTAACGCTCTTGATGGTGGAAGATTGAACTGTGACGTAGACAATGACAACAGTGACGATGCAGAACACTTTTAAGCTGTAGGAGATGACTCAGATAACAGTTCCAGCAACACGAAACTATTTGAAGCCAGCGGAAAAGCAGCGGACAATAATAAAAGCGAAGCAAGCTTCAAAAGGAACAAAGAAGAAGAAATGCAGAAATTTTATTAGGTACTGTAATTTTAACATTACTATGTATTTCTATGTAATATATTGTAATATATGTTTCTTTTAAATACATAATATTGGGATAGTTACTGTCAGTTTATTCATGAATCCTTTTCATTTGCTATATTCTCATTATAACCTGATCCTTCGGAAATTATATTATTCGGGAAATTTTCTCCTCTCGATTTTCGTACGATACAATAAGTAGAAATAAAGGAGGGAAATACACAAGCATATATGGTATTCTTACTTTTAATTAATAATTGTCTTTAATGGAAATATTAAAGACTTTGTTGTCTTTAATGGAAATATTGTCTTCAATGGAATTGTCATTTAATGGAATTTAATGGAATTAATCTTTAATAAAATTGTCTTTAATGGAAATATTAAAGACTTTGTTGTCTTTAATTGTCTTTAATGGAAAAATTAAATTATTCCATCTTTTGACCACAGTGTTTTTGAGTGTATTGCCAAGTATCAAGAACATAAAGAAACAGTTTATACTTCCAGTATATTTCAAAAGATAACAAAATGTTCTTTCGATGCTGTGTACTTTACGTATTAAATACATGAATATGTAATTCATTTCTTTAAACGCTTGCAATAATCACAAAAAAAAAAAAAAAAAGAAAGAAAGGTTTGAGAAGGAGTGAACGTTTCTAGTAGAGTAAGTAGGAAAGAGCTTTAAATCTTAAACTCATTAATGTAAAAATAGAAAAATTGCCTTAAAGTAGTTAAAAGGCTTAGTAATTTCAATGAAATCCAAGTAACCGAAACTAAACTGCTTAACTGCCTAACTGAAAAGCAGATTAATTGAAATATAAATTTCTAAGTATTTTTTACACTTTAACTGGCATGATGTTACATAAACCAGTTCTCAAAGCAAATTTCGAATACATTGCTCTCTTGAAAATTGGGTTAACAACTGATTTGATTGGGTTAACAACTGAAAGGGGTTTTTGGGAAAATATTATGCACAGGTCATAGGAATTCAAAATAGGACTTTTTTCGTGGATATATTAAGCATTTAAAACTACCGCAGATAAAATGAAAAATATCTGCATTTACCAAAAAAAAAAAAAAAAAAAAAAAAAAAAAAAAATCATTAAAATTACTCATTAATTCCAACTGTTAAAAACATACATATTAATGTGACAAGAAAGAAATAAATTCGTTTTCACAAAATCCACATTGTTCTTGACTGAAACAATTACAGTTCCTCTTTGCTGTTTAACAACAAATTTAAAACAAATGAAAAATGATTACCAAATTAAGTGAATCGCGTGCTAACCGGGATTTAGACAGTATCGCATTAAAATATGCTTTTAACTGTAAAGAGTGGAAAAGATTTGGAAAAGAAATATGCTTCTAGAAATGCTGGAATTTTTCTGGAAGGAAGCTCATTATATCATGAATATTACAGCAGATATAAATTCTTATTATGTGCAATCATAATTCTTATTCTCTATTATTATTTTCGTAAAAGTATTCATATTATGCAAAGAAAGCTGTATTAGTAATGTTTGTTTTAAGCTAGTGAGTAAATTTTTCTTTTATGTTGACCTCCGTTCTGTTCTTTCTGAATTCAGAATACACAAATTTTCATTCTCGTAAACTACTGAAAAGAAATGAATTAGAAATAGTGATGTTGTATGTAGCAAACATATTGACTGCATATAGTTTGAAAGTAGATTCAACATGGCTGAATTGAGCTTTCTGATCAACTCGTTGATCAAGAGATTCGAACAATCGAGAATACCAAGCTGCGGGAAGTTTTCCTACGATTTAGCTGAGTGATAACTACTTGATTGCAACGTTAGATGATGTTTAACTTTTTTTTCTAATGGCAGATTGTGAACAATTACAAATGTAACCCAGTCCCTTTAATATATACAAGGCTGGGTGTGGTGGTCTCTTTATTATGGATGCACCTAATAGGTGGGCCACCACCGCCTTTCCTATGAAAGGGCGGACAGTTACAACCATGCCTTCTCCGGATTCGAACCCAGGCCCTTCGGCATCGCAGACAGCTTCCCTGACCACTATACTGACTGGGCGGCTGATGATGTTGAACTCTGGCTTCCACAATATAAGCAACAGTGTATAAGGAAGAGTGTAATATAAGCAATATAAGCAAGAGGGTCTCCTCTCGTAGTGCACCTAAAATACAAAGCCATGTTTTCTTGATGGGCTAGAAATATTTCAGACATAATGCGCTGGATATTGTTGAACTTTGGCTTCCACAATAAAAGTAAGAGTGTATTAGGAAGAGTGTAATATAAGCAATATAAGCAAGAGTGTAATAATGCAAAAGGGTCTCCCCTCGTAGTGCACTGAAAATACAAAGCCATGTTTTCTCGATGGGCTAGGAATATTTCAGACATAATGCGCTGGATATTGTTGAACTTTGGCTTCCACAATATCCAACGCATTATGTCTGAAATATTTCTAGCCCATCAAGAAAACATGGCTTTGTATTTTCAGCGCACTACGAGGGGAGACCCTCTTGCTTATATTACACTGTAAACCTTTGTTAACCACAAATACTAGATTTATATACCTAGGAATAGAGTCTATTTCTGGGGTGCTTTGTTTTATAATTAGTTACGTAAAAGCATGTGCTCTAGCTACGGATGAGTTTCAATAATGTTTTTAAATGTTTTAATTCTGAATTACATAGTAGTAGTAGGCAGTGCTCTGCATAGTGCCAAAACATGAAGGTACTGTATTGTAATGATAGAGTGTAATTTCAATATAGTGTAGTGTCAAATCATAAATGTGTGAAAATCTCATGCTAATATAAAAAGAATATAGTGACTGATAACGACTGTGTCAAAATTATGCCGAGATCATGCTGAAAGTCAGAATGCAGTGACAGATTATAAAAGTGGCAATTGTGTACTTAGTGCAGGACTATAAAAGGTGTAGTATAAAGTTTTCATAGACAACGTCGGAGTGGTTCTGCGAGGATTACGTGCCGTGTAACTCAAGTTTTCAGTTATCGTGATATTAAATGTTCTTCTTTTATACTGGACAGAGGGAATGTGAAGGCAAGCCCTCACATTTTCACTCTGAATTCCATTTCCGTTGTGACAGAGGACGTTGGCTAAAACGACTATAAATAGATCCGCTTTTAAGTTTCCTCTCTCTTTTTTCTTTATGCTCGCACACGTGATTGAATGCTGCAAGACTTCTACTAACTTTCCATCCCACGCCGATTCGGCGCTATAACTTTCTTCAGCAAGGGCTCGTGCTTCTTCATCTAATAACTTATTTTCATACCTGGGAACGAGATCGATCAAGCAATGCCTTTTGTTAAAAAATAGATGGACATTTTTCATTCCTAACAGGTCCATAGTATTCTGCAAGCATGATGTCGAAATTTAATTAGCGACTTCGGCGATGTATCAAAGATTTCACTTTCTTCGAGATCCTGCTCTTCTACGATGAACTCTCGAATGTCATTATGTGACTCATGTTATGCAGTTGACCATATGCGCATCTCCTACAACATTAACTCTTTCGCATCGAGAGAGGGCAAAATCTCAATTCCCCAAACATCGAAAACGCCCGTATCTAAGAATTTCTCTTGGAATGCTTTTCCTTCCCCCATGACAAGTTGAATACTACAGCGCTAACAATAGCCTTACTTAAGTAAAGCGAAAACTTCTTTCTTCGACGCTTTGACACTGTGTGAAGTTCCCCCTTGGAAAGGAAACAAGGAAAGTTCCAAAAACAAGTTCCAAAGGAAACAAGGAAGCTACTTTTAGCAGCTTCAAAAGAATGATTGACATGTGATTTAACAACACCTGAAAGCAATGAGTAATGCAGTAACGTGATGGGGGAAAGCACTGGGTAGGAAATTATTCAGGCGTTTCGGGCGTCCAGCCGATGTCTGAATGCTCGGGCGTTTGGGGCGACTTCGATGCGAAAGAGTTAATGTTATGAGTAAATACGCGTTTAATAGGTGAAGCTATTATGCGTTCTTTTTTGATACTATATACTAGTAAGTTGACATTTATCTTTTATTCAATTTTAGGCTATCAAGGCACACCAGAATCAAATCTTAATATTCTCCTCATTTAGATTTATTGTAGCAGCAGTGCACAAAAATAATTAAAATGTCTATGTCTAAAATATACACTAACAATTTGGTAGCGTGACTCTAAATTTTCCAACAGTATCTGCCTGAAGTTTAAAGAGAGTAGTTGAGAGGTGAGTACTTAAATTTCGAAGAATACACCCGTTTTACCTCACAACCCTCTTTTCCACTTTTTCCTTTTCTCCTCAAATTTTATTTCAGTTCTGATAACAGATGGCATTACGTAATATGTTTATAGCAACTCAGTACATTGGCAATACGAAACTACGTCTTTCTAAAGACAACAGAATGTCGATTTTTTTCTAGAAACGCTTTGAGCGTTTGCAGTATACATTTATAATAATCTAAAGTTTGTTTATGTTTTAAATATTAACGTCTTGTATATTTTATTGAGTGCGATTTGCCAAAAATTTTATTAACTATGAAACAAACACTAGATGAAGCAGAGTGCATAATAATTTATGTCAATTACAATAAAAATTAAACTTACCGCTTTTTTTACGAAAGACACAAAACCATAGCCTTTGGACTTGAGAGTTTGAGGATCTCTAACTACACGGCAGTCTCTGAAAGAAAATAATGATATACGTATAGAACATCGCTTTTTAAAATTATACCAAAATGCAGACACAAGAAATGTTTGGAATACTACTACAATATAGGGACAAATTAATTAATTTAGAGAATATCTTAGATAAAGCGCATACTTTGCGCATGTGAGTTCATTGAAAGAAAAAAGAGAGTAATTTGAATAGTTTAGTTGCTTTCACATATGTATATGTTACATACTAAACGCATATGAAGTGTGTAACAAGAAAGATGATCACAGCTTCGAGCGGTGAATGTCAGTACTGAATCCAAGACTATTTATCTGGTATTCTACTTCAGGCTCTTTAAAGAGTTAACTTCAAGCTGTTCAATTTGTCATGACCACTTGTCGCAGAATGTTTTAATGATAAGTAAAATCTCCTACTGAAAAAAATCATATAATGAATGAGTGGTGAAATTTATTCATTTTTGGTGTTGATAAAATAAAAGTTTAGTTGATATGAGTAATTATACGTTTTAAACTCTGCAAGCTGCATTAAATATGTAATCTCATGTCCATACACTATTGTACGTTTAAACTGTTTTAAAAGAATATTGTTTGAAAGTAGTAATTGAATCTGATTTTGTTGTCTTAAGATTAATCAGTTTCTAAGTTATTTTAACAACTTGATATTTGAAATTTCTCTTCGTAACTTTCAGTGCAAATAAATTTTTACCGATACATAAGTAATTAGAATTAAAGGAAGTTAAAATCTTTGCATCTCTATTAAGAAAACTTTGAAATGTAGAAAAAATATAGTTTGCATTTTCCTGCATTTAGATTTTGAGAACACGTATTGGCACTATAACATTCTTAAGTACTTGATTTGTAAATGTCTAGTTTGTAAGCGTCTAATTTATAAGTGTCTAAGTAATTTTTATAAACAGGCAAAACGAAGCAAGCTGTTAATTCATATGTAAAGCGATGAATTGGATTTTATGAGCAATGAACGAATTTTAAGAATTTTATTTATCACTGAAATACTTTTAAGATACAATGATTTCGTTCAAGTTATTTTAAGGATATTCATTGCTTTAATGTCGTTTAAAACCAAAATAATTTATTTATTTAAACAATGCTTCTGGAAATAATGGTAACTTATTTCTCTAACATTATACTTCTCAAGTAGATGCAAATAAAATACAACTTCATATCCACAAGAAGAACACTCCACGAGTATTCCGCTCTTTTACGTGGAAATATGATTTCTAGGTTGATAGGTACAGCATCATGAAAATGATTCACAATTCCCCTTTTATGTGTATGAAAGAAATATGTTGAAGCAATCAAGGATTAAAATTATGAATAAAATCAAGACGTTTTATTTTAACATGAAATATAAATTCATTTTCCATTTGGCACTGGAATATTTTCCCCCTATAATATGGGACAGGAAGCTAGTAACAAATTATTAGTCTTCCACGAATTTGACTATAATTTGAAGAAACATAAATTAAAGCATTTTTAACTATCGAGAAAAGTTTTATCTTTTAAAAATAACGAAAAATAACGGTGAAATTCTCTTTCTTTTGCTTTTTCCTGGAGACAGTGAGGAGGTTATATTTACTTCCTTGTACAAAGTAAATGTAGCATTGTAATGGCGAATAATTTCAGGTATCATATTTTGACAGAAATATTCCTTTTGACCGCTCCAGAATTCGAAAGCGATTTTTTTCGTGACGTATGTATGTATGTATCCAGCGTAGCTCAGAAACGATTATCCGTAGAATGTTGAAATATTGTATATGGAACTGCTATAGCAACTATTGTGAACCTCAGCCCTTACCCGGTTTAAAAATCCTTACCCCGCATTTATTTTCGCAATCCTTTGTCGGAGACATACACTTTCAATTACAGAAGTGTTTTAAATTTTTAGCAATTTCAAATTAAAAAAAATTAATCTTCAATAAACAGCGAAGTCTTACTTTTAGTGCTGTCTCCAGGTTCCTATGTTTGAAATGATTTATGCTCGTTTTGGAAAAGTAAAATTAGACGAAATTTGACAGCGGTACTACAAAAATTAACCTGGATATTTAATTTTAAAATTTTCAGTTTTTGTATCATTTTCATCTTGCCTCGAGGAATCGGTTGATTAAGTTAGAATAATTCGAGGAAATAGTGTGAATGAAGTTCAGCAAAAAAACGTACATAATTTAATAGGCCGTGCAAGGAAATCATGTGGCGTCCAATAATATTTTTTATACTAAATTCCATGATTTCCATGAACAGTTTGCTTTAGCTATTATACGAGAGTCCAAACTATTATCTTAAGTATTTGTTACGTAAATTATTACGCCATCATTCATGTTTAGACTTATCATAATTAATTGAAAACAAGTAAATCCTTTTGTTATTTAAGCCTTGGAATGGAAATCTTATGTGTTTGGTATAAACAACATTCCGTGACATTCAGGTAAAATGAAAATAATCAAAATAAAAGTCATCGGTGATAATATATTGCGACTGCGAATTTTTATGTTCTAATCGTAACCATTGAATTCATTACGCACTTCATATGTGAAGGAAAAGGAAAACAGCTAACTTCAAGCCTGAATATATAGGTGAATATATAAGATGAATAATTCTCTGGTAATAAGTAGCCGTACGGGAGACGCATTCGATGCGTTAAAGAGATTAGATCAAATGCTTTTGCAAAAATTTTCAACAAAACAGAAAGAACCACATCTAAACTTCTTATCTACATTTTGCAATCACACCTCCAATTTTGCAGGTGCATTCTACCAAAACATTTACATTTCACCTCCTTCGTAATTCCTAAACAGAACAAGAAATACGAGGTGCAAGGGAAAAAATGAAAAAATTGCACACCCTGCTTCCATTTAAGTTTTCTTTTCCGTTGTATAAAAGTGGCGTTTGAAGATAAAATATCACCTCACACCCTAAGATGAAATGAGCAGAAAACGCAAAAGAACGCATTTCTAATGATAACAACGTGTGGCAATTTCACAGAAACAGATTTTGCTTTCAAAACACGTTCGTTAAAACTAGAATATAACAGGATGGAGACTCGTGTGGTATTCAAGAAAGGGGAGGGGGGAGTTTATTTATCAGTCCCTTGCTTCCACTCGAATCAGGAATTTTCCAAAACGTTAGAAAACTCCAGAGAAAAGGATGGAAATGTGCACATTTTTGTCCCGCAATGAAGATATTCTACCAAAATGGAAATTCTTTACCTGGGAACTTCTCTTCATTATTTAAATTTAAGTAGATTGGAAAGAAGAGGCATAAACTCTCATTGCTGCTTTCGAGTATAAATGTTCGTACACAAAACATGAATGTTAAGTCGTCTGTGGGCCCCCACTCTTTGAAGAAAATGAGAAGGTACTCAACGAGGCTGTTCTGGTGATCATGATTTCCAGCTCGAGGGCGGAGAACCCTAGTTTTTCCCATGATAACTGCAACTTTATGAAGTTGTGTTGTTTGAAATAAGAATGAAACTTAAAGAGGAGGTAGAAGATATACGGTATTTTTACAATTGATTAAGACCAATAAAATAAAATTGTGTATAAAATTGTGTAATTAAGCACTCAAGGCACATGGCGTTATGAATTATAATTTACGATAACTCACCAACTAATATCTCATCAACTAATGTTTTGTTTAAGAAGACGAAGCTGAATGCACACATTCAGTGATAATTATTTCTTTAGAAGGGATGAATTTTCGAAAATGAGAGAACACATTTACGGACTTTGTGAAGGACGTTATGAAGTTGTAAGTATTTTTGAATGATATGAAGTAATAAACGGTATGAAGTTGTAAGTATATTTTGAAATATAAAGAAAAATAAACATATAGCAGTATCATATCAGTAAGTATTGAAAAAACCGCAAGATTACCACTTCTCTCCAACAAATGAGTCAAGGTCCAAACGACTTTTAGCAAGGATAACATAAATTATTAAACTTGCTAAAATTAACTTCATTATGCAAGAGAATGTACTGCAGGTTTTAATGTAGATTTTTCGAGACAGAGAAAGAGAGCTGACTGATAGAGACTAATTAAAATATCAATCCTAAAAAATTAAATAGTATCTCACAGATAATGATTTCGTGATTATTAAAAATTCGAAATACTTTGCATTTGAGTAGTTATGACACTAACTCACTGACATTCTCTCTGAAACCCAAAGAGAAGAAATCTATGAAACCTTATAAGGTATTTCTCCCGCCTTCGTGGTGTAGTGGTCAGCACACTGAGCCGGTATTTCAGGGGTCCGTGGTTCGATTCCTGGCAAAGGCGGTTGCTAATTTTTCATGTTTCCTGCTTCCAAAAACTCCTAATGTCTCTAAAGTGGCGCCCGAACTAAGAGGGTGACTCTCCACACCCAGGATTTGGCGATTAGTTCCCTAGAAACCTCAGTCACCCTTTAAAAGGGGAAGTATATAAGGTATTTCTCCCGCCTTCCTAGCCTACTTTCGTGGTGGTTTATTCTGATAACTCTACTGCTCATTGCTACTTGGAATTACGTCATAAAACCAAACAATAAAATAATTTAGACCCCTTTTTGAATCTTTAATACTATATTTATTATTTTAAGTTCCTTTATAAGGTATTTCTCTCTTCCTAGCATACCTTCGTGGTGTTGTGGTTTGCACGGCGGGTGCGTATTCCAGAGGTCCGCGGTTCGATTACCGACGAAGGCGTTGCTACTATTTCAATCTCTCTTGCCTGCTTCAAGAATTGTCTAATTTCTCTACAGTGGCGCCCGAACTAAAATTGTGTTGGATGATGATTTTACACATTCGTGTTTGGCGATTTGGTCCCCTAAAAATCCCAGTAGCCCTTTAAAAGAGGGAGTGTATAAGGTATTTCTCCCGCCTTCCTAGTCTGCTTTCATGGTGTAGTGGTCAGCACACTGAGCCGGTATTTCAGGCGGTTTCTAATTTTTTATCTCTCCGGCCTCCAAAATATCCAAATGTCTGTGCAACCTGTATATCTAACAATTATATTTGA